AGGAAAAGTTATTGATACAAGTCACATAATTGGTCACTACACCCAGTGTCCAAGAAGTCACTGTCTTTACATAATTTGTCACTAGACCCAGTGCCCAAAAAGTCATTGCCTTCACGTAATTTGTCACTAGACCCAGTGCCCAAAAGTCACTGTCTTCACATAATTTGTCACTTGACCCAGTGCCCAAAAAGTCACTGTTTTCATGTAATTTGTCACTAGACCCAGTGCCCAAAAAGTCACTGTCTTCACATAAATTGTCACTAGATCCAGTGTCCAAAAAGTCACTGTCTTCACATAATTTGTCACTAGACCCAGTGTCCAAAAAGTCACTGTCTTCACATAATTTATCACTAGATCCAGTGCCCAAAAAGTCACTGTCTTCACGTAATTTGTCACTAGCTCCAGTGACCGAAAAGTAACTGTCTTCACGTAATTTGTCACTTGACCCAGTGACCAAAAAGTCAGTCTTCACGTAATTTGTCACTTGACCCAGTGTCCAAAAAGTCACTGTCTTCACCTAATTTGTCACTTGACCCAGTGTCCAAAAAGTCACTGTCTTCACATAATTTGTCACTAGACCCAGTGCCTAAAAAGTCACTGCCTTCACGTAATTTGTCACTAGACCCAGTGCCCAAAAAGTCACTGTCTTCACATAATTTGTCACTAGACCCAGTGTCCAAAAATTCAGTCTTCACATAATTTGTCACTTGACCCAGTGTCCAAAAAGTCACTGTCTTCACATAATTTGTCACTAGACCCAGTGTCCAAAAAGTCACTGCCTTCACGTAATTTGTCACTAGACCCAGTGTGCAAAAAGTCACTGCCTTCACATAATTTCTCACTTGACCCAGTGTCCAAAAGTCACTGCCTTCACGTAATTTTTCACTTGACCCAGTGTCCGACATCATATATCTTTACAAAGATTACCCCCCTCTCAAGTCAGAGGCGAAAATATTTACTTGAGATTTTCTCTGGTTTTGAAGATTTTACTGAGATTTTGCATCAAGAAGTTAACCTTCTCAAAATTACCTGGAGAATTTCATCCACAATCTGTAATTATAGTTTATGGAATGGACATTGATCTAAATGTGATGGAATGAACCTCAGCTTCTGTCTCGGCCACGCAGCAACGGATCTATAACAGCCATTTTGTATATAGTAGCAAATAATTCAAGTGTGCTCTCGTGATACTTGACAAATATTTATGAAACATTTTACTTAGGTCATCCGGAATTTAAATCACAAGCAACACAATCTTTATATTCTGATTTGGTGCACACTAACAGATGAGACATGTGATTGTATGGTATTGAGCTTCTGGTAAACTTAACATATGTTTTCCACTGCATCTCTTTAACAATAGTCCCATTGTAAACTGTCCAGGAGCAGACCAGCATAACGTTACTCGATGAATGCCGCTTAATAATACCCTCATATTGATATCATGATTATTTTCCTCTGGTTAACAAAATACCATTCTGTTTAAACCGTTTGTACGTGAAAAATAAGTTACTGGTGGGGGATGAAGTTATGGTTGAATCATCCAGTTACATGGTGAGTGGCCGTATTCCTATGTTTACTAACTAATTATTGACTGGTCATCATTTCGTTCTCCAACAAACTGAAAAGCATACTTACTTTATGTACACCCATGTATATCTGTGCTCAGAGCAATAGGCACCTACTTTTATGTAGTATTCTACTTGTTTCAAGCAAGCAGAAATCTAAAACAATATGTGGTATTGTGTTGAACGTATATGGCACTGTTAGCACCACAGGCTAATCAGCCAGGTTAGGGAGCTCCAAGTTCAGGCATAACTTCCTCTGGTTTAGAACTACTGACCAGAGATAATAAAACCAGTTAAACGGCTAAACGTGATTGTTAAAGAGCTCCGTTGTACATTCTTGCTTTAGTCTTAACCAGAAGTTGGCCAAATCTCATCAAAGAGGGCTTGTTTCTTCAGATTTCTCTCCTTACATCTTTAGTACTTAGTTATAGAAAAATGTTTAATCAAAATCAGAACAATTAACACTGAACAAAATATTCATGCTAATAACGTAGAGTAGAACAATAAGTTTATACATGACAACTGCTTCTGCACAAGACCGAAATAGCAATCGAATACAATAATTTTGAGAAAAGATATTCAACTTGTGCGATCCAACTACCGAAACGGGAGCTTGGTGGATTATAGAAAGATGCCAGGAAGAGGTCGTGTGCTTGGAGCAAGACAGTCTTACGACTTGTGCGATCCAACTACTGAAACGGGAGCTTGAAAACCTCCTCGTAACCTAGATGGATTATAGAAAGATACCAGGAGAAGACTGAGTGCTTTGAACATGACAGTCTTACGACGAAGGGCTATTGTAAAGATGCACGGTGGACAGATAGAGCATGGCCGTACTCCACCATTGAAGTTTGTTTAACGTTGTTATTTTTTGCATTGTTTGTCCAACGCTCAAATTTGATAGCAAAAAAAATGCAATCTTGTGAAGATGATTAAGTAAATTAAGTCATTAGCCGGAAGAAACTCATTAAATATGTAGTTAATTAGACATATGGTTAGTAAGTTAATCAATCATAAAAGTAAAAGTTATTATCTAGTTCGTATTCATAAATGAATAAACTTTCGTCTACTTTTATTTTGTTTATTACGAAGCTATTATTCCTTTGTTAGTTTTGGATCAGCCCAGTAAAACTATAGCCCGTTCCTTCTGGTTGGAATGCACTATTTTAAAAAGAGTGTTTTTTGAAAGCGAAATATCAGCTCCCCCTAAAATATTCAGGATTGGTTAAGAAAGTTTTCTTTAAAAGATTTTCTTGTTTTGTAAAGATACACAGTAGGCTATCTGCGACCTCTGATTATGCTTCGTCGAGATTGTGGTCATTGTTTGGACCAGGGACTGTCAGGTGCAATCTTGACTGCTTCCTGAGATCTCTCTATCACGGGTTTGATTTGTTTTGAATTTCGTGCAAATTTACTCGAGAACCATCCGCACTAGCCGTCCTTAATTTAGTAGTGATAATAGTAGAGGGAAAGCAACTAGTCAACACCACCCACCGCCAACTCTTGGGCTACTCTTTTACCAACGAATTGTGAGATTGCCCGCTTTACAGCGCCCCCACGGCTAAAAGGGCCAGCATGTTTAGTGGGACGGGGATTCGAACCCGCGGAGCTAAGATCGAGAGTCGAGTGCCATAACCACCTGGCCATAAATTTATTTGTTATGAAAACACTTTATTAAAACCAATATACAGAAAAGGAAGGAATTCTTTAATTTTCATGAAATTCAACGAAAAAAAAATGTTAATTAAATAAGCTTTGAAAATTGATTCTATGAAATAGTGTATTATTCTTTATTTTCTATAGACTATTCAGATATACACATTTTTTTCCCTCTTTTTTTGAAATTTTAAATTCATAAAAATAAGGCTAAACCTGAGAAGTATTTATCGGTATCCTAGGACCTGACCTTTCAAAATGAGGTCACCATTATATTTGCCAAGCTAGGTAACAATATACTTCCTGACAATATTCTCCGTCAATAAATAACAAGTTATTTTATTTAAATACGATAACCTTAACAACAATGTTCAATAAAGGGGGATTTTGAGTTACCCCCGCAGTTGCTAAAATAAACTAAACTTACCCAATTTATTGCCTGTAGTTTTTTTAAACAGATACAACTGGAAAAAGCAAAAAAAAATTCCAGGAAAGAACAGAACATCTAAATAAACTTACAATTACACAGATCTGTGATTTGTTTCAAAGCTTTTAAACTTCCCATTAGATTCTAGTTTTCATCCCTACAGGAGTTTCATGGGTCATTTTCCTACAAAATCATAAATTACTGATTTTCAAATTTCATAATCTGCTCTATTCAACTGTTTTTAAAATATTCTTGTTGCTATTTTTAAAGCTGTGATTCATTAGTAGTTGTTCAGAGCACGTGCCGTTAAATCATGAAAGAACAAAAAAGAAGGCCGGTAGTAATAATACAACAAATAATACATAGATAATCATATCCTCAAGAGATGGTAATGTGTTGGCAAATACAAACCCACGACTTGGAAGGGGCAGAAAAGTTCTAAGGAAATATGTAAGTGCGTTGCTTAAAGGTAAGTGGGTTAATTATTATTTCTAATATAAGTTTTGAAATTTGGCACACAACTGTAGACCACTCGTTACCTGGAAGGTGTTTTGCAGTCCGGATAGAGCTTGCCTAGTTCATTTTCGTGCATCATGGGATGGGGGGGGGAAACAAATAGCCCATTGTGTAGCTTTGTGTTTAAATACAAACAAACGAAAATTTCATTTACTTTTGTATTTAAGAAATATGTCAAAAAACATTAGCTTTATAATAACGTGTTGTTCTTTTGTTTGGCAGATTCTTTTTAATTATTCGGTAAATAATTCGAAGTCCGATCGACGTAACGATAACAAAGTAGTACTTTAACGTGTAGTCCTATGTATTTAAATGTGCTACGCCTAACGTAAAAATAAACATACTTGTACAATTTCACGTCTAATCGAATCACGTAACTATACATACGTGATAGCTAACGAAACACTTCATTATATACTTCACTGAACTAAACTCATATTTATAACACTAGTCTTGTTTCTAGATACTTAGCAAAGTCTCTCGATTACTATATTTCCGAGCGTTCTAGGTATTGTATAACTTATGTCTGCGCCCTCTATCTAACATCTAAATAAAAATATTGAAAAAATAGCCCACAACTGTACTTCAATGTTAAGTTAAACATTCATGTTGGCAAAATACACATTCAGAAAAACCCCAGCACCTTCGGCACGTGAACCTAGCTTTGAGTGTTTTTGCCCCCGCAGAAGGAATGTGCCCCCCTGTCGCCAAAGGTTATCGATAATTTTCTAAAGGTAAGTCAGAAACAAAGTTCCTGTTAACAAATAGTTTTTATTAACAACGGTTTTGGCATATTTCCTAGTGTTCTAACACCGTTTAAGTTTTTTTATATATATGTCTATAATTGGGTATGTAAAACGATCTTACCTATAGTATGCTAGTATGCTTCTAACCGAAGACAGGCTTACGTAGAATAGCTCAGAAACGACGTTTCGGCACATTGAGT